GTCGGTTGTTCATTCTATCAGCTAAGGTGCTCTTTGGGATACCGTAGGTCTTTGCAGCACGCGAAATGCTTAAGTTATTACCTGCAGCGCGTGTCGATCGGATCGCTTCAATCGCGAGAATGACTTTGTCTTCTTAGGTGTAGATTAGCATTATGGTTGTTGAGATTTTACGCGTCAAAGGTTTAAGTGATTTGGACGTAAGAGTGTTTAGAAAAAAACGTCCGGCTGACTGGTCCGGCCGGCTGACTGATGCACCACGTTAATCAAATCATAAAATTCATCTCTAAGATCACATCTGTAAACATCTAAGCCTTGTACGGAGGAGGCGAAATACCCTCCATAAGCGCCTTCAACCTCAACGCCAAAATCCTCGACTGGAACCGCGTCATGGGCAGGAAGCCCACCATGATCCAGAGGTTCTTCACGCCAGTCTCCCGGAAGGCGCCCCGATACTCGCCCTCCTCGTCGACACCCCACACCTGCCCGACCTGGTTCGCGACCTTGGGGCCCAGAGTGTCCCGGATCGAATCATTCAAGTTGGAGAAGCCAGTCGCAAACACCACAAGGTCGAACTCGCGTTCGCGGCCGCCACTGAGAATAACCTTGTCCTCAGTGAACCGCTCAATGTACCCCGGCTCGACCTTGATCTTGCCGTTGATGATGTGCTCGCACGCGCCGGCGTCGAAGTAAAACCCGCCGTTGCGCGTCTGGCCGAGGGTGACGTTGCCCGTGCCGCGCTGGCCGCGCCAGGTGCGCAGCCCGCGGGCGTTGAGCGCGTCTAGCAGCGGGCGGTCGAGGTCCTCCAGCACCTTGGCGGTGCGGCGGCCGAGCTCCTCGCCGGGGCCGACGGGCGTGGAGAAGAAGAGGCGGTCATGCTCGGCGGGGTCGGCGCGGTTGCCGTCGGCTCCCGGGGCGTAGCCGCCGAGGATGCGCGGGACGGAGTGTGTCAGCGACATGACGTACGTCGGCGAGCGCTGGAGGAGGGTGACGTCGATGCCGCGACGGGAGCAGTCGAAGGCGGTGTCGAAGCCTGAGGACGAGGTGCCGACGACGCAGACCTTCTTGCCGGCGAAGGCGGCGGAGCTGTCGTGCGCGGAGGAGTGGCGGATCTCGCCGCCCTTGAACGTGTCCATGCCGAGGATGGTGGGGGTGTAGGGGACGCCGCAGAGGGAGGTGGCCATGACGACGTGCTTGGGGCGGACGGTGCGGGACTCGGTGCCGTTCTTGTTGATTTTGACCGTCCACGCGCCTTGGTCGTCCTGCTCCGTCTCGATGACAGTGGACTTTGTCCAGATGTTGAGTTCGAGCGCGGACGCGTACCAGCTGATGTAAAAACCCTGCTTCTGGGCCGGGGTGTACGTTGGCCACTGCTTGGGGTAGCGGAAGAAGGGCAGGTCGTCGGCCCAGTGGGGGAAGTGGAGGGAGAGGTACTCGTATCTCTTCTTCCAGACGTCGCCTACTTCTTCGCTGCGCTCGACGACGAGGCAGTTGAGCCCAAGGGCATTGCACCATGCGGCAAGCGCGAGGCCGTTCTGTCCGCCGCCGATGACGAGAATCTCGGGGTCAGCCGCGTCGACTTCCTTTGCGCGCTGCGCCTCCCAGCTGATTGTGCCCGTCATGTGGCCGTCGGCCGGGGCGCGCTCCGGGAACTGTTTGAGCTGCTCGGCGACAGTGTGCATGGTGTAGATCTTCCAGCCGTCCTTCGTCAAGACGGCCTTGATGACGGCCGAGGCGACGACGAGGTCCGTCTCGAACGACAGGACAAATTGCAGCTGGGCAAAGTCGTCGTAGGGACGGTCGACTACGGGAGCCGGCGCAAGGAAGGCAAAGTTGGAAGCCTTGGTGGTGGGGATGAGGTCGCGGGCCGCCTTCAGAATGGCCGGGCGGAAGTTGAAGGTCCGTTGGTCCCAGGTGAAGGAGAGCTTGTCGCGCCAGACGCCTGTTGCGGGTTAGATTTGTCCTCGATTACAGCAGGTCTTGAGATGAGCATACCATACTCGAGGAACAGGTCTGCAAACGCCTCTGCGTTTCCAGAGCCTAGAGCATCGGAGAGCTGTCTGACGATGCCCTCCGCCTCGGCCTGCGCGTCGCAGTCCTGTGGAATCTGGACACCGAGAACGTCGGTAGTCGGCAGGGCGTGGTTGTACTTGAAGTCGTACATGTAGTCGTCGGCCACTGGAGGGCGCTCAGCAGTGCCATTCAGCTCTGCCTGCTTGACGGCGGCCCTGGCGGCGATGTCGACGCCGTTGGCCTCAGCATGATCGATGACAGTAGAGGGAGCCATTGTAAAATTATGATTGAATGGTTTGTACACTTGCCTCCAGAGCCGAACAGAAGCGCGGCGTCTTCGCCTTTCATATCGTTCTCACGACGCGAGAGCCAACTTTCGTCTCGTCGTCAATCGTCGCCAGTGACATGCTGAAAGCCCCCTCCATAGAGGGTTTCGACAAAGGGGGGAATTCTCCCCGCTGAGATTTGAGTTGAAGGCCAACACCCCGGTTTTACACGGACTTTCAGACGAAAGGGACCAGCCAGGGGAGAAGGTTGGAAAGGTGCGTCTCCCCACCCCAAGTCAAATCCTGATGGGGGAATTCACCCCGTCCGCCAAACGCCAGTGGAGCTAAGATTGTCGCCGCATGTCGGGGATTTGGGGCTGGTGTGTGGGTGGTGTGGAGATGATGCGGGGGACGGGGTACGAGAAGAGTGCGTCGTCCATGGCACATCCCAGGTCGCGATGCCGCTTTTGGCCTCTGTGATCTCAACGTCGTGCCGGTGCTGGCTCGGAGCAGCCTCACTTTGTCCGAGGCTCATTGTCGCTTGCCACGCTTTCTGTCGTACGATCTCAATGTCTTCTTCGCGGGGTATTCTCGGGGTATCGGTAGTCTGCCATAATGCATAAGCCATAAACCATTGAACACGCGCACACAGCTTCAGTCGTCCTCGATGTTCTCCCTCCATTGGCGTTGCAGCGATTCGATCAACGCCGAAGTTTTCCATCCGGACCTCCGCCGCCACTTCTCCAGAAACTCGAGCGCGGCGTTCTGGTCGGCGGGGTGGTGCAGGTATGCGCCCCAGACAGCGAGGCAGTGTCGCGCCGTGAACCATGTGTTCTCCGCCCTCTCGTTCGACGTCGCCAGGCCCAGGACCATGAACAAGTGATGCCGAATGCGTCGTTCTCTCGCCCTGCTCTCGGCTAGGTACTCGTGCGTGTGGACGACGTTGCGCGACCCGATCGCGTTGAGGACAATCTGGGCGATGTGGTAGTACTGCAACCCGACGGCGTGGTGTGGCAGCAGCGTCAGGACCTCCGGAAAGCAACGGCCTTCCTCTCGCGATCGCTCTCGGAAGTAGATGGGCCGGTAGGATGCCGGTTTGGACGCGTTCCAGTCGGCGATCTCGGTCTCAGAGAGGGCCACTTGGGCAGGATCTCGCGGCTCACAGAAGGCGCGTTTGAGGAGGAATGCGAGGTTGAGAATGGACTTGCTTGCCCAGGAATAATCGTCATTGCGGCAGATGGAGACCGAGTTGGGGAAGCAGTCGAGGCCCGTCTTGAGCGGTATCTGCGTCGTCAGAGACACGTAGATGTCTTCTCGGAGACACAGCCAGCACGCAGCCTCGGCCACCCCTCCCAAGGTGGAAAACTCGGGGACCATATTCAGAATGCGAGACGTGCCTTCCAAGTGGAAGCGATAATCGTCCTCTATTCGTGGTCAGCTATGGAAGGAGCAGCCAGGTCATGACGCTTACCGTCCATTTCCTCGTTCTGCCTCAGGAGAGCGACGGCTGTTAGCACGCTCTCGGTGATCTTCTGTCCGCCAGACATGGACGGTATGAGGAGGTTGAGGCATAGATTCTGATAGTGCAAGGCGAGGCCGTCGCCGTCTTCGTCCCGACACCGGTTGAAATGTCGCGCGGAGAAGGCACAGATAGAATATCGAATAATGAGATCCGTAAACGCCATCTGGGACACGACCGTCTCAAAGGTTCGTGACGGATCCGCAACGTCCGTCCACAGCGCCATATGATCAGTGAAGTTGCGCACGAGGAGCGCCTCCCGCGGACTCAGCGGCGAGATCTCGTCTGAAAGATTCTCCCCGGAAGGGGGTACGTCCTCCATCAAGTAGTCTGTCGAAGGTGAGGTCTCGTTCATTAGGCGTCCCAGTGACGTGGAATCATCCAGGCACGGATAGGCGTTCTGGCTGCTGGTCACGCTGCCCGCCGGGGCGCTCTCAGCCGATACATTCGGGCCCAACGAGCCCTCCGCGTCCTCAGACAGGCGCGGGCTCTCCCCCTCGTACAAAGCTCGCAACTCCGGAGTCTCATCGTAGAACACGGCCGGCGCGGTCGGCAGCGGACAAGGGCGCCATAGTCCTGGAGGGGCGCGGGTGAGGGCGTTCTGTTTTGGGTAGAAGCGGAACTTGAGCGTCGGCTGGCGCACGCAGTTGATGCCCGCGTTCTTGCACTGCTGGCAGCCGCTTCTCCCCCAGTCGCACTTGCGGTGGCGATACTTGCAGGCCTGGCAAGCTTCAGTCGGTTTCGGGGCGCCGTCTCTGGCGGTCTCGTTCATGCTCGAGCACCGCGATTGCGAGGCTCAGTATGGTATGCTGCAGCGTGCGAGGAGACGCATCGGTCGCGTTCTTTTTAGATCATGGAATCCAATCTCAAAGGGGCCAGATAATCCGATGTTTACCTTTGCCGATGGGATACCGTAGGTTGATGTTGGTTGTAGGTATGTGAGGCAACGTGGAGCTCGGCGGTCGCAACTGCCCCGGATTTAACTGTGAACCAGCTCGGGAATGGAGTAGCCCGTGGCCGGGAAATTATCGGCTCATTGTCACTTGGGGAATGCGGGGTATTTGGGGTCACTTTGCTGCTGAAAGATGGGATTTTGGAATCGGAGGTGCCCGGATTAAACTTCTCTCAGAATTTCGAATTAATTGTCGAGCCCTGTCCGGCTTATTCCCTTTATGTCTTCCCCGAAGCCAGGGTTGTTTAAAAAAGCTCTTGCTTGTCACTCTTGGTACTAATTAGCCCACGGAAGTCGTGAACTATTTGATTCATCATGTGCATTGTGGCGAATAGCATGATAAACAAATGTGGGACCAGACTTGTTGCAATACAATCGCGGCTTCCGCGACATGTATTTTGCTCTGATCGCTCGAAGTTTGTCCCGGTATCATGCTTAGAAATTTCTGAATACTAAGCCAGTGTGGAGTCTTCTTCCGACGTGCGAGAGCCCTTTCGATCCCTTCTCAGAAATGAAGAAAGCTGCCTCCAGGTATTCTGTGTCTTCTCAGGCTTTTCTTGCTCTGCTAGAAGATTGTCGGACCTTCCGCGCAGCTTGGGCATGGCGCTCCGAAGCCTGGTCCAACTAGCCGGCGTCAATAGTCCGAGTATGGTACCAAGTGACGTGACGAGCGTAGTGACTGTTACAATACTGAAAACGGTCCAGAATATCTTCCGAGTTTGGACGTCGCTTGCGGCGTGGAATACTTCGACGCCGAAGAAAGTCTGATTCCAGCATTCAGCTCTGGCATAGATAGAGGTCTGAACAGACAATGATAACTCACGGCTACAAAAGTCGGGGGGAGAAACAGGATTGTCACAATGGTAAAAACCATCATAATCTTGTTCAGCTCTCTACTCTTCTGAGCTTCCCTGACCGACTGGGCGTTGAAGAGCTGTTTCAACTTAGGTTAGCGCATTCCTTTCCAACTGGAGGGGTTGACTGACACCATCCCTAAGACTCTCGATTTCCTTCTTCATCACAGAGATTTTGAAGAGAAGTCCCTTTGTTTTTTCTTGGTGAAGTGCCTTGAGCGTGGTCCAGTTTTGATCAATGATAAGCTGTTCTTCCTTCAGAGACTGACCTCGCGGGCTATAAGACCACCGACCAGAACAGCGATCTGAAAACGACTGAAACTCGACCTCTCCTGCTTCTATGATGTCTGAGAATAATCTCAGAATCTGCAGGACTTTGAAATATGTTCTCGTTTTCTTCAGTTCAGGGTCATACATTAATTTTTCCAGCTCTTTCTCGTCCTCGATGGATAGCGGCTACATTCATGAGATTAGTAATAATTTGGATGATATCTCTCAAATGACTTGCCGTGACTGAAAACACTGCGCTCAACTGATTCAATGTTTCATCCCAGTCGTTGGTCCAGGAAGTAATGACGTGGTACATCTGGGCTTGAAAGGCCGCCATGCCCGTCAACAGCCCTGCTGGACGAATGCCCGTGTCATTCCAATTGAATTGTTGAATTGGATGCAAGCGGTCGTAACTCTGTTCTTCAACCGTATCCGCTGTAGAGAATAGCCGAAAGTTTCCTATAGGAGCGCAAAGCGGCGACATTGTTAGACGTGTGGAGTATCTGTGCTCAAGCAGAGATATTCGTTTTCCCGTAGCATCCTCAACGCTTAGAGCCTCCCGCTCGAATCGAAGACCACTCGGGTCAGATGATGTGCTTGTCTCGCCGGCTTCCGTCTCAGTCGCATCCACTGCCGTATATTTGAGTGACTTCATGTAGTAAGAAAAATGGTCTAACACAACCCTTGTTTTCAGTTCTAGGGGAAAATTTAGGTGAGGCATGGACCAAGTCAACGAGCCCCAGGGGCCCATCCACGGACCGAAGTGGCGTCTGAAGAACGATACATCGCCGGTTCTGAATGTATAGAAGTCGGATGACATTGCAATGATTGTTGCGATATCTTCAAAGCTGAGAAGCCTTTGGGAAAGCCCGACATTAAATGTGCTGGTACGAATTCAGAAGGAACCCGCCCAAAGAGTGTCCAACTACTTACCAAAAACTGCCATATAGAGGTGCATCAAGCGGCTTGATCGGAGGTATGATATCCTATATCAGCAAAAGAAATGATAACATCAGCTCAGAAGCTTCGTTTGGAGTGTGAAAAACAGGGATCTGCAAGGCGTACCTTGCCATAGACAGCCTGCAAGATGGAATCCATGCCAAATGCAGCATGCTTAAGGAACCTTGGAGGCGGAACCGCGGCCCAAAATTTCCAAGGACGGTCACTTGGAAATTGTCTTTTGAAGAGAAAGCCCCAAGTGCTAGGCCAGACACACTTCTCTGGGTCTCTCGTCGCTTTCCCGTTGACAACAATTACAGGCCTCCATCTCAATCGATTGGATGACGGTCTTTTAGAAGAGCCAACACAGAAGCCCCCCATGCCAGATTTGAAAATCCTCTCGGTGTCTTGAAGCATGTTCCGGAGCAAGACCGCTGCATCTTCATCTGATTCAATAGGGTCTTCCTCAGACAATCTGAGTTCGCCGGCGTTGAGTCCCATAAAATGACTTGAACTTAGGACCATCTCAAGGAGGAAGCCCCCGGGAGAGTCTCTGACAGTGCATGGTGCCCCCGATCAATGCTTCTCCAACCGTTGTGTACATCATTCAACAGTCTCGATGCACTCTCCGAGATGTCAACTGGGGTGTCGAACCTGTTCTGGAGCAGGCTAAGGATTTGAGAGTGCTTTTCGTTCAACGCTCTCAATTCCGCGAGCTGTTGAGCGACGTGTTCTTCATAATGAGAGGATTTGTTCGAAAGCCTGGGTGAATGCCTTGCCGCTAATCCAGAACCATTCGATGGTACGCCCGGGTCGTTGAGCGCTTCATCCATAGCACTTGGCGCCAAGGGCGAGCTTTCTTCATCGTCAGACATCTTCACGATGCTTTGGGGATGAGGCCGTGGCTAACGGGGCGGCTTCTAAGACACAATTTAGCTAAAAATGTTTGGCATCTCTCAGGAGTCGAGGGTGAAAATCACGAAGTACTGAACGACAGAATAAAGAGAAAGAGAAAGAGGAGCCTCAATTTCACACGAGAAAAAACTTTGGACAGATTCCACGTGCGTTATTTTAAGGACCAATCCCTTCAGGTTCTCTTATGGGGCGCAGGAGTGCTGCATGCTACTGTGTACCTAACCTGATATTGCGGGACTGAAGTTGTCGATTAGGTATGGCCCAACTCTCACTTAGGGAATATTCCCGAATTGTCTCCAATTATACTGTAAAACCGGTCCATAACGATAACTTCCGGTAGCAACCCCAAAACCAACCCCATCGTTATGGACCGGTTTTACAGTAGTTCAGAAGTGGGATTGCTTCAATTCAACAAGGCGGACACGGCACAGGCGAACCATTTCGAACGGGTGATGTTGTCTTGCGCCGAGAGTATTTGCCGATTCACCTTGCTACCTAGTATTCAATGAGTGTGTGCCCACATTATACAGCGTAACAGCCCGCATGAGGCCCAAAAGTGGAACCACAACTGCAGTACTGCATAGGTAGTGTTCACCAGCTCACAGGAACATGGTCCAGAACTAGATAGTATTATACAATATTTATTTATCATGCAGCTTTTGAGCGCCCAAATGGCGCAATTTTAGGGTGTTGGATCGATCATGCATGCAACTAGACACCTTTTTACGCCTGGCTCACCACTCTATTTTCACATAATGCCAGTCCCAGACATTTACACAGCATAGCCGCCAGAGTTCTTCTGTCTCGGCTCGCCCGCAGCCTCAAACGTGCCGTTCTCCAACAACCTCACACCCTGCGCGGAGGAGCTACCAGGCGCAACCCACGTGACGTTGTGGCCCAGCGACTGCAGGTAGCTAATCGTACTATTATCATACGAGTACTCGACGTTAATAATATTCGGGCTGAGCTGGTCGTGCAGACGCGGCTCCGCCAGCGCCTGGGGCGCCGTCAGGTTCCGGTCGAGCACGTTGTGCAGGTTCTGGATGGTGGCAGTGATAATACGACTGCCGCCCGCCGCGCCGATGACAAAGTACAGCTTGCCGTCGGGCTTCTCGACGATGACGGGGGAAATAGAAGACAAGGGTCTCTTGCCGGGGCGGATGTAGTTGGCCGGGCTGGGGACGTAGCCGAAGGCGTTGCTGGAGCCGGGGATGCTGAAGTCGTTCATCTCGTTGTTCATGATGACGCCCGTCTCGGGGACCATGAGCTGCGAGCCGAAGAGGAGGTTGACGGTCGTCGTGAGCGAGATGGCGAGGCCGCTGGCGTCGGCGGTGGCCACGTGGGAGGTCCCCGGGGTCTCGAGCGATTCGAAGCCCTCGGGGTTGTACGCGGACACGTTCTGGGTGCGGAAATCCGAAATCTTGGAGCGCACCTCGGCGCCGGTCTCGGGGGAGATCATGGCGGCCGTGTAGTCGGACATGCCGTCGACGAAGAGCGGGTCGCCGAGCTTGGAGCGCTGGCCGTAGGCGAAGCGGATGGCCTCGTCGAGGCGGTGGACGGAGAGGTTGCGGCTCGCGGGGGCGCCGAAGTCCTCGTAGCCGGAGACGGTGTTGAGCGCGCTGAGGGCGACGATGCCGCCGGAGGGGGCGTTGCAGGCGGTGAGCTTGTGGCCGCGGTAGGTGATGTGCGCGGGCTCGCGGATGGCGACGGTGTAGTTTGCGAGGTCGGCGAGGGTCATGGTGCCGTTGGCGGCGCGGAGGGCGGCGATGGTGGCGTTGGCGATGGCGCCGGTGTAGAATGCGTCGGCGCCGCCGGTGGCGATGGCCTCGAGGGTGTCGGCGTAGCGCTTGCGGGTCATGGTCTCGTTGAGGCGGACGCGGTAGCCGTGGGGGGCGAAGTCCATGGCCCAGGAGGGGTCGTCGGTGAGGAAGTTGCCGTTGGGCGTGACGGCGTTCATGTACTTGACGAGGTCCTCGTTGACGCGGAAGCCGAAGCGGGCGATCTTGACGGAGGGCGCGACGAGGTCGGCCCAGGGGAGGCGGCCGTACTTGTTGTGGAGATACTCCAAGCCGCGAAGCTCACCCGGGACACCACTGTGCGTCGTTAGCATTGGCGCATTTTCTGTGAATGATCTTTTTGAGACTCACCTTGCCAGGCCGCCGTACATGCTGGCCGCCGTGTTGTTGGCGTACATGTCCTCGTAGGCCGCGGCGGGGGCCGTCTCGCGGAAGTCGATGAACTCGTAGGTCCCGTTGGGGGACCTCACGAGCATGAAGCCGCCGCCCGCAATGCCGCTGTGGTACATGCCGACAGTGCCGATGCAGAAGACGGTGCCGACGAGGGCGTCAGCCGCGTTGCCGCCCTTCTTCAGCAGGTTGGTGCCGATCTCGCTGCAGATGTCCGTCTCGGAGGCGACGGCGCCCAGCTTCGGGGGCCCGGCATACGTGCTCGGGGCCGCGAGGGCGGGCTGCAGGAGGCCGAGCAGCAGCTGCGCGACGGCGGCGGTGGTCGCGAACGACTTCATGGCGATGGAGCTCTCGAGAGACTGGCTGGCTTGGACCGCGGTGTGAGCTTGTCGGCGGGGAGAGGTGCGCCTGCGTCAGAGACCGAGGACGAGGAGGAAGGGCTGGGCTGGGAAGCTGGAGCGGGAGGCAGGAGTCGCGGCAGCAACAGCAGCAGGCGCGGCCAAGCTTTATCAGGGAAGCTACCTAGTGATCGACTGTCAGTCACCGTGGTTGACCCATGGCCGTTATCGTTCGTGTGATTGGCATGGGTGTCAATTGCGCCCACAACGTGATAGGGAAACAGTCGTCTTGGTATCCATAGATTGGCTAGTGAGTGAGCAGGGTGGTAGCGAAGGATCCAGCAGGCTGGTCGGTCCGCTGCAGGTTCCCGTGCGACATTTTGGCAGAGCTTGTGTTGGAGAGAGTTCGTCTGATTCAATCGAGAATTGACAAACGTAACAAACAAGACGATAACTGGGGAACTGGTCCGGGCCAATCGACGTGATGCCCGGGGGGTGGTGATGTGATTGCCCGCTTCTTATCAGGCCGTGGGGATTTTTCCAGGAAAACAATTCTGCTGTAATTTCAGCGATATATTGTTACCATTACGGCCACAAACAAGAACCTTGCGAGAAACGCCCGCTGCCATTGGGCAATTGGGCGCAACATGTCAATAAAGTGCCGATACCACGCTGATTGGAGGGCCCCACAGCGCGGTGAGTGCCCCGCATGGCCCCGCATCGAGACCCACAGCTATCGCGGGGACGCCGGCTTCGGCGGGGAACACTGCTGCTGCCAGCGATAAGCACCTGCCTTTCCGGGCGGTAGCGCCTCCACAAGAGCCCGCTCCCGCCGAGGGGCCCATCCGAGCGGCCCTCACCGAATCGCGTGCTCACATTGTTGACAAGACAGACAGACCTCACTAGGAAGACGAACGCGCGGCTTCACGATGTGTTTCTTTTACATGATGATCAGTGTTAGTGTTTTATCAGACAGACTTGATGGCATACATCCGTCACATAACCCCATACCATCACCCTTGTCAACCCCAAGGACTCGGCCCAAACTTTCCCAGGATGGAAACCTGAGGAGACTTCCAGATGCTCCAATCCTCAGACTTGGCCGGGTCCCCAAACGGCTTGAGGGCAGCGAATCGCATCCTGTCGCAATCGCATTCGTTAGCATCTCGTCTCACACTGTGAAGATACTCTCCAGTGCAGAACTCACGTGTAGTTCCCAGGCTCAATCTGCGACCCATTCGCCAGCACGCCGAACCAGAAGAAAGTATGCCGGTACGACGTGTAGATCGCGTTCCGGTGCACGTTCTCCAGCGGGAACGGGATCACGTCAAACGGCCCGCTCGAGTCCGAGAACGGGCTCCAGTACTCGGTGTCGGACCGGTCGTAGTACGCCACCGACCCAATGTAACCGTCCTCGCCGACCGCCGGCGGGTAGCTCCAGTCGCTCTCGTTCCATCCGGCCTCGTAGATCTGGCAAGGGTGGTCAGGACCAGGTGCTCTTTCAAATAGCAGAATGGGGATGCGAAACTTACGTCCCATCGGAGCTCCTTGGATCCCCACTTCATCTGAATGGTAAGCCAGAGCCAATCCTCATCCTGCCAAATCTCATTCGTCCAGCTGTAAACCGTGTTAGCGATTTGCCAATTTCGTCTAAAGAAGGCAAGTTGGCAACTCACTAAGGCTTCTCTTCAATAGGGATAAAGTTGTACGTCGTCGTTGCTTTGGGGAAGCCGTGCATGTACATGTCGTCCATCTCCTTCTTCAAATCTGCCGCGAGACCTATTATGCGGTTAAATGTGTGATTAAACCCAGAATGCCTGGCGTCGGCAGTCTCTTACCCATGTACGATATGGCGAGGGACTCATTGTTGCTTCCACTCACGATGACTTTCCCACTGTACAGCGGCAATCCTGCCGGGTTACCAAAGTCGGGTGCTTGGAACGTCACACTGCACTCGTTAGCCCGTCTTCCTCCTCATCAACATCAGAAGACATACCTGACCGTCTTCGACTCCCCAGCCTTGAGCGTAAACCCCTCAGGCAAAACAACCTCAACCGGCATCTCCCTCGGCTGAACCTCCTCCAGCGCCCTCACCCGTGGCGAGCTACTAACCGACGTATCAAGCGGCAGCAGAATCTCCATCCCAGCCCCGTCCTCCACGGAGAACGTATACGCTACATCCCCGCTCCCCTCGTTCCTCACCACAACCTCGTGAGAAGCGACAAAGTTCGCCGTGTCGTTCAGCGCGAACTTTTCAAACTCCAACGACGTGGTGGCGTTCACGACTTTGAACGCGTCGACCAGCCCCGTGCCCACCTGCGGAGGCGGAGCCGCCATGTCGAGAGCGCCGTCCCACCACTTTACCGTCTTCCCGCTGGCAATGATCCTCCGCGCAAGCATCTTGGCAAAACCCGGCCCGTGAACGGTCCGTCCGCCGTGCGCGCCGATATACAACGCCGCCACGCCCGCCACGTACGGACACGCCATACTTGTCCCGCTAAGCGTCGAGAAGCTATCCGTGGGATACGCGCTGAAAATCTCCCCGCCGGGCGCAGCGATATCCGGCTTGATCTCTAAATCGTACAGCCCGCCCCAAGATGTGAATGACGACGGGAGCCCGGCGAAGTCGCGCGGTAACCCTACGACGTCGTTCGGCCCGGCGGAGAAGTCGGCAGTGACGCTGGTCCCGGCCTTGACAGCCTCGACGATAGCTTCGCCTGAGTGCCTCTCGATGACAGCCAGCGCGCTCTGGTAGTCATCCGTGTACAGCTGCGCGAGCGGGCTCTCGTTGTTGTAGATGAGGATGTACCGCGCGCCCAGGGCGTTGAGGTTCGCCTGCTTCGTCATAGCATCGCATCCGCCGCGCCGTACGAGCGCGACAGCCCCAGTCAAGTTATGTGAGCCCTCCGGGTACGGCTCACACGCCTCAGCAGTAGCGTTAGTGTCCAGCCCGAGCGGCAAGATGGGCCACCCGGCGACGGACTCGGGGAAGTACACCACGGAAGGGATGTATCCGATCCTGCTGGACGAGGTCTCATTGCGGAGGGCGAAGGTGGCATTGAAAGCTGGCATCGGCGCAGACTCGCCCTCGACGGAGGCGACGGCGAGGACGTTCTTGCCGGAGGAGCCGGAGGAGCCGTAGAAGGGGCCGGAGTCGCCTGAGTTGCCGGCGGCGATGGTGACGAGGACGCCGCGGTCGACGATGCGGGAGGCTACTTCGGCCCAGGCGTTGTCGGAGAAGCCGTTAGGGCCCCCGATGCTGGCGGTGATGATGTCCATCTTTTGGTTGTTAGATCTGTGAAGGTGTGTTGAGGCTAGGAAGTGGGGCTTACGCCGTCATCATAGGCTTTGAGGAACGCCTCAATGAGTGTGGCTTCGTCTGTTTCGCCTGTCGAAGTGAAGACTTTGTATGCGTAGAGCGAGGCTTCCGGGGCGACGCCGACGAAACTGACGACGTTAGTTCACATATTGGAAGTGATTCAGAGAGGGGCTGCTCACTTGGTAGAAGACCCCGCCACGATGCCCGCGACATGGGTTCCGTGGCCGAGAATGTCGAGCGGATCCTCGTCGGGCTCCTTCTCGCCCAAATCAGGCCAGTCTGGGAACCATTAACACCAGAATCAAAGTTTGAGTAACGAATCACCTACTTCCGTCACCAACAAAGTCATACCCTCCAGCAACCTTGAATCCAGTCCCGAATCCACCGCCGAGCTAGACATGCATGTCAGAACCACGACCTCATACAACATCTAAGCGGCGGATCAAAAGCTCACTGCAGGATGAGAGTACTGTATCCCGCTATCAACAACGCCAACCTTCGCGCCCTCCCCGAAGACTCCGTTCTCATGCAGCCTATTCACGCCAGTCGTGTGGTGCGTGGAGTAGTTCGCCGAAGCCGCGTCGTCGCTAAACGACCGCGCAACCTTGACGGGATCAAGCTTGACGACATGGTTGTGCCAAACGTTGACGATGTCGGGAAGCGCTTGGATGCTGGCTATGTCGTGCGTTTCGGTCTTGACGTATGCGCCGGAGAAGATGTCGTTTTGGAATGTCTTGACGACTTCGACGTCAGGTAAAGAGGCGATTGCTCCTTGCAAAGAGGCTTGGCCCTGTGTATATGGTGAGAGGTCGTTCGAATTGGCTGGTGGCCGAGGAGATGCGGTGTTTTTACCTGGGCGAATTCGACTATGTAGCGATTCGACACAGTGACGGAAGACCCATTCTGGCGCTTCGAGAGAGCACTAGTGCTGCCCAGAAAAGGGAGCACCGCAACGGCTAAGGTCCAGACCGAAGGCATGATGTCGGGAGCGAGACCTGGAGCTCAAAGTCCTTCTCATGCCTCCCTGCCTCACGCATCGAGAGAGCTGCCCCAACTTATGTAGCAGAATCGCGCCTTTTCGGATCATCGAGAAAGGCATCATGCGATTGCATCGTAACATCTCGGCAAGTGTGCGTAGGCGCGGAACCTGCGTATACGGGGTTGCAGTCCGGCGGGTCTCGATCCTGTTTTGGACCAGACGGGAAGGAGACCGATGTGCCAAGATCTCGGTTGGTCGCTTGGGCCAAGGCTTGGTTGGGAGTTTGGATGTGAATACGATGATGGCACCTGTTGGGAGGTTACCTACCTTATTTGGACGGTTAGGCGACATGTTCCTGATAGAATCCCGCGACGGACAGGTTATTGGCCATGATCATGAAGTTAGCTCCCTACTCATATTAAGTTTAGGTGAGAGAAACGAGGGGCAACAAGAAAATGAATCGAGCCTACAAATCTGCTGATGAAAGTTCGATTGTTTGAAATTCTCATTCGTGACAAGACAATATCTAACCACTGCAAAGCTTAAGCTTTAACAAGTTCCACAACCTTCATCTCTCTACTCGTACCGTATATCTTGTTCACCTTCAACCCCGCTCCGGCAGCCATTTGAGCCCAGTTCTTCGCCGTTCTCTCCTTCCCGCCAATGTCAAGCATGGTGAAGTCATACATGGCCTGCAACGGCTGCGGCGGGTCATCCATGACCATCTCAGCTACCAACACCCTACTGTCCGATCCCATGGCCTGGCTGAGATGTGTCAACATCTTACCCGATACCTCGTCGCTGTAGTTGTGAAGACAGCGGCAGATGAAGTAGATGAATGCCTCTGCGACGCGTTAGCCAAACCTGGATCTTCTCCTCTTCAGGGTGACGATAACTTACTCTTGATAGGCTGCTCCTTGTGAAAATCATGACTCTGCAGCTTCACCCCCGCGAGCCCAGGGTCAGGATTCGCCACAACCTGCTTCATAACCTCGTCCCGATCCTCCAGCGCCACGCGGTCATGCGGGATGAACGGGTTCTCCTGCAGGATCGCCTTGGTAATATGTCCCTTCCCAGCGCCGACGTCCACAAATAGGATCCTGTCCTTCTGCGCCGGATCCGCGATCCTCTCCTTGAGCCAGCTGAAATCGTACTCCTTCCCGATCATCGGGCCGTGCGTTACCGTGTCCATGGCGTCCATCACCCGCTTCAACCGCGCGGGCTCCTTGTGGCAGATCTCCCACAGCGTCTTGTCCGGCTCACCGTGGCCGTAGGAATACGGCGTGTGGTTTTGCTGCGTCGGCTCGCGGCGTCCGTAGTGGCGGAAGTACTCTGGCATTTTCACCGCTGTGAGGAACATCTCATCGTAGCTGTGTGAGAAGTGAGTAGCCGCACTTTGAACGAGTAGCTTGGTGGACTGCGTACTAGAATGTGGCCAGTCTCACTTCCAAGTTGCCAGGTCTATACTTCTTTGATACCTCCGAGTGAGATAGCAGCTCCTCGCCGGTCTGGATGAGTATGTTGCGCGCCACAAGAATCCAGGCATAACGTCCTAATATGTCTTAGGCTTCATGGAACCTCAGCTTGGGGGCTCGAATGTCATGCTTACTGAGAATCGATTCATCGGCGTCCACCCTCTTTGCCAGCTGCGCGTATGAAATAGTCCCCTCGTCTGGGATGTTCTCGAAAACGCCCCAGTCCATGAACAGTCTGATGGTCACGATTTCAACGTACGGGTAGATGCGGTTCATGGCGTCGTTGCCGTACGGCCGCGTCGCGTATAGAATCTTCTCCGCGATGAGCTCCATTTCCGGGGTTGGTGCTCCATCTCGATTTGAGTTGACGAGAGCGGACAGCTGGGAAATGAGGCCCGGAAGTTCGCTTGGAGTGATGGCCATGGTTGCGTTACGAAAGTTGTCGATGTAGTTGAGTTTTCTATGTAGTAAATGATGTCGGTTGCTGCAAGTTGTTCTGCTCATGCAGAGTCCGCATCGGGAAGACGTCCATCTCTTATATCCTCCAGCAATGAAGTCAAACCAGCCGGCAGCCATCGCCATCGTAAGCGGGCACCGGCCAGCAGTGGGGCACCGAAGACCTAACCGGATGGGACGAAAACAGTAACCTTGTTCGCCTCCCCGAGCAGCGACGGCCGGTTCCCCCCACTCTCCGCCCGCGCCAAACCCGCGCCGTCGATAGCGTCCCGCCCCTTCTTCTCAGTCGGGAAAGACAAAGTCGGAAACTCTCGTTTCAGGAACCTTTCTCATCCGTCATTCTGCAAATGAGAGTACAAAGTAGGGCTACGTCGGTAGCTGTTCATTGGACGATATTGGCGGCGCACGCACCCAATCTCGGTTCCTTCGGTGGTTGGTTATTCAGCGCGAGGGCGTGTAGAGTATTTCGGCAACGAAGTTTGTCCGCTGAGGGACGGGAACGTGGCTTCCCAGTCCCATGAGTCTAATTCCACGTCTGGTTGGCGGCGTCTCCTCGGCATCAGAAGGAAGGCATGAGATGAGGTAGAAGGTATCCGAGCCAGCCAATTAGAAGAGCCCGGTGTCAGTGGCTTTTATGCAAGCTTTCTGACGATGACCATAGTGAACAATGTTAGTTGGTTATGCTGTGACTTTTTGCCCATTTGCTAAGGATTCATTGACGGCATCCCGTGTCTTATGAATGCTGCTTATCTATCTTGTTGTGGTTGTACACGTAGGTTGATTTAACGAGGCGCTTCGTGATCCGAACGGCCAGAAGTAAATGTCGAGAAACTGAAGTCTTTCACCCCCCCGAACCTGATGAATACTAAAGCGGCAGAAGGGTCATCGTCACTTGTAATTGCTTAGACACAAAAAGAATCATAAGGCTGGACGGTCATTTAACATGAGTTGTATTTATATTTTAAGCGACTCTTCTTATGAATTCTGTGTTGTTCAGACTGCAAGATGATAGCGCCATTTCCAACAGCCAAGACGACGTGCATGAGATCCGTCGCAAGCTTCAAAGTCTTTACACTTCCTCAGCCGTCATTTCATGCCTTTCAGGCGATTAATCAGTCGGAGGTGTGATGCATCTCCTTGACGCCAAATAGGGCGCCCCTGCCTTCTTCTGGTACCCTCCAGACGCGAGCGACGTATAACATGGGTCTCCTCACCAGCTCTTCGTCGACTTTCGTCTTCCCTCACTCTCGCCCCAACGCCCTCTGAGATATCGTCTTGCAACTCGACGATTTCAGAAACGGCAACAACGAACATCTGCGTGGGGTGCTTCGCCACAGCCCATGATTGGGCTTCTCCTTGCGAATTGCGAACCATCTGGCGCGTGGATCGTGCTTTCTTGATAGTCATAACCTGTCAGATTGCTGCTGAAGACCATCCCTCCTTCTCGGCCATTAGCGCAATTTCTGTCATCACACCAGATAAGATTCCTCGCCACAGGATCTGATGCTACCCCAAAGGATTCAGGATCGAGCAGAGCCATCCCAGATTGGTCCCGTTCAATGCCGTCTTTTGCAGGTGCAAGCACGACAGACGTTCTGGACAGGGAGATCTGATCGTTATTTCTGTCCCAAGAATATAGCGTGCTGCATCCCTTGCAGTATATTATATGTCGCAGAGGCTTCTTTTGAGGAAGAAACCTGTAGTCCCCGGCGACGTCTTTGCCGTCTTTGCAAGCAACGGCCCCCGGCATTCTTCCCGCTTTAGCGTTGTATGGAACAACGCCACCCACTCGACTATCAGGCCCTAAACAAGAACAATACTCGGGATGAAATGGTCTGAGTAGCTGCTCAAGGTTTGAGTTGACGTGAGGGCAAAATATGCTGCCATGTCGTGTTTTCAGTGCCTCTAACGCAGCTGTAAGGGCTTGGTCGTTCACGCGGTCAATCTTCCTGACGACAAATACTGGTAGAGTCCAATGAAACACAACACTAGGTTCTTTCTGAAGCCAAAGGCACAGAGAAACCGTTGGAGGGTTGATGTATCCGGGGTTGGCGGTAGCAGCCGTCGATATGGCCAGGTCGCTACACGTTTGGCATCTCACGTAAGTCAAGCTCTGGTGAGGCGTAGCTCCTCCTTCCGCCACCGAGCCAGTCCAACGGCCGACGTCCTTCAGAGAAACCTTGTGATGGGCGCAGAGATGAACCCACCCTTGTGAGATAATGCATTCGCGACTCACCGAGTTTCTTCTTCGCTCTTCTGATGAAAACCACAGTCTGGGATGGTACCTGTCGCAGCAGTAACACCACATTATGTGTGCCAGGGTTAAGTGATACAACTGTAACTCGGTAATCTCCATAGCCCGATGTTGTAGGCACGGTGTGCAGAACGAAACTTCTGCCGATCTTCGGAAAGTTTCCTCATCTCCTCGGAACCTCGACTTGTCGAGGCGCGCGCCCGGTTGAGGGAACCGATTGTTCATGTACAAACGCCAGAAGGTGAACGATACCTGGCGTAGCATGAAGAGATCGGCTAGCTCTAACTTGTCCATGATGAGGAGTAAAATCTCGACCGGAAGATGGATGATCGGGCTGCGACGCAAGTTCAGTTCGAAGTTGATTTCCCAAGTTGAAGCATCTGGACGCTGCTTTTGAATTTCGTCGAAATCATCAGTATCGAGCTTTCTGGGTGCCGCTGAGGTCATATCCTCCGGGGATGCCTGTTGTGTCTTTGTCACAGTGGGTTCTGGTTGACTGCGAAATTCGACGCCGTCCTTGGGCCTCGGTCGATTCTCCTTTTGCAAAGGAGCTAGAGATTCCAGTACAGTTTCGGTTTCGCTCACTAAGGTGCCATGGACAATGGTCCTCGTCTCCTGCACTATCTTAAACAGTAGGGGTAAATCCAGCAGAGTCGTTCTTTGAGATGACGGCATAGTGGGCTGCAAACGTCAGTTGAAAAAGCTTGTTGGTGATTTCCGAAAGAAAAAAATCAAATTAGAGTCGCGGCTTTCTATATAAGTACGATTGGACATAAATGGATAATGTGTGTGGTATCAATACCAGAAAGGTAGTTCTAGCCAATGGCCACACAGTACCTTTTACCAAAGGCATCAAGGTAGGCACTGAGGTACGAACGTAAACGTGATTGGAATCAGCTTAATTTTGGAGAATATGCCTATGTGTCTATTCGATCCTGCTTTGTCTATCTATCACCGAAGGCGTAGTCGGGGTAGCTCGAATCAGCTCATCCTCACTTGGCGGAGGTGTCAGCCGGTCAACCTTCCTCGTCGACAGCCAATGTACCGTTCCATATCTGTAGAGCTCTCCAAAGGTCCCTGGTATGTGATCTGCATCCTGAAAACCCTCCTTCTTGATCAGATCTCCCAGCGCAGGTAGTCCACCTGCTGAATTATGATACACCTTGTACATGTGGCTGTTCTCAAGCATGTCGATCACAAATTCCTCGGCCGCTTTCCGTCTTGCATCGTCCGGTTCATCCAGCCTTGTCGTGAAGATCTCGATCTGCTTGGCGCCGTCATAGTCTGTCTTCATGGCGCCGAGAATGCCATTGTTGATCCCTTCTACCATGAAAGCCTTCTTCTCGTAGAAGTCGCGTCCATTCCAGCCAGTCTCTACATCAAGAAGATTCCTCGTCCGGTCCCCGATGAGCATCTGCGCAACGTAGTCGCTCATCTGTAGGACCTTCTCTTCGAAATTCCAATCGGCCATTCCGTCAGCGATTCCGATTTCTTGGATTAGTGGGTGCTTGTGGAAGCCGCGTTCGTTCGTGCGATCTCTCCAAAGCTCCTTGAAGCCGTTGTGCCAGTTTTTGATGAAGATGGACCCCTTCCTAGCGGCAAGCATGAAGTTGCCGAAGCTTCCCCATTTCTTCCTGATCTGACCGGTGATGATCCAGAGACCGATCTCGTACGGTGAGCCAGGGTCGGAAAGAGCGTCCCAGAACAGATCGTCGAGGTGAGTGTGCAGCATGTTGCCGACATCCATCCATACGCCGCCATGCTCGAAGAGTAATGGGAGCCGAATGAGATCTGACGCATGCTGGGCTTTGTGAGATCCGTCCATGGTCATGTTGACAAGGCAATCGGGGAGCCAGTCCTTGCTGATGAAGTTGTAGACGTTGTTGGGGGAGCCATCGATGAGATCGACAAGTCGAACAGTCCAGCTGGGGCCAAGTTTGCGTACCCAGTTTAGAACGGTGCATCTGTAGCTCGGATACATGGCGTCAAGACCTTTGTCCCAAAATGCCCAGACATTCTTCTCGGAGGTGATAGGGCGGAAGGTGTTGAGTTCTGCAATGATATCCGGGTCGGTTCTGAGGTCTAGTTGGGACCGCGGCACTTCTCGCAGACCAGTGGCCCGATTTGGAATCGTAAAGTGTCGCATTTTCGAAAATCGGGGATGAGATGGAGTACCGATTCGACTTTATTCTGTTGGTATCCTCGTGGGAAGAGGTTGCTGTTTTATACGCGAATTCCAGGGGGCGAGGTTTGCTACAAGTTAGCGGTGGCGGTCAATCGATGCTCGTCGGCCCCTGACCACCATCGACCCCACCAGACAAATTCAACGGAAAGCCCGCGATGCATACAATATGACCATTGACACTGCCACAGTTGCTGTAACAGACGAGTGCGATAGTTCATTACACTCACTTGTGAGAGGCTGGATTCTTGAACAAATTTTAATCGTCTGTTGAGAGGAAAATGTAGAGGTATCACCCTAATACGTTCTGTTTCGGCTTAGCGGCGATGAATCATCTCGACTCACATCGCCCCGACTAGGCTTGTGGAGCTGCCGCTATCCGCTCAGGAACGCCGTCTATTTCTGTTCGTGCTCTAATTGGCAAAGCCGGTTTCTCTGTAAAACACCAAGTCCCAGTGGTCGATGAAATGTTCCGTTGTATGTTTTGGGTTTGGCACCCCCCACCGACGCTCACGCATGCGTAGGATTGTG